CGGGGGCAGCAGGGGGCGCTCTCCCCTGGCAGGCGGGGCTGGCCCCAGGGTGGCGCTAGGGGGCGCTGTGGGGCAGGGAGCGGGGCGGGGGGCTCGAGCAGGGGGCGCTCTCCCCTGGCAGGCAGGTCTGGCCCTAGGGCAGTGCTAGGGGGCGGCTGTGGGGCAGGGAGCGGGGGCACTAGGGGGCGCTGTGCTGCGGGGAGCTGCCTCACCACAGAGGTGGCTGCATCCCAGTGCCAGGCGGGGGGGGTCTCTGTGTAACCCCAGGTGGGGGGGTCCTGGCGTTTGCAGGTGAACGGCTCCCGGGTGACCCTCCCTGCAGTCCCCGCCCCCGGCGTGTCCGTCCATCTGTCCGGGACGTTCGCCGAGGTCCGGACGGATTTTGGGCTGGTTGTCCGGTACGACGGGAACCATTATGCCGAAGTCCGGGTCAGCCAGCAGTGAGTATCGGGAGGGGGTGAAGCAGGGGGCGGGGGGTTTGGTGGGGGGTGAATTGGGGCTTATGGGGGTCAGGAGGGGGCTATGGAAGTTAGGGGTCACAGGGGGTCCTGGGAGGGGTTAGTGGGCTCAGAAGAAAGCACAGAAGTGGGGTGTGGGGGCTGTTGGGGGGTGGAAGGAGGGGCTGGGGGTCAGCAGAGATTGGGGGGGTTATGGGGGAACTGGGCGGGCCATGGCTCTGGAGTGGAGGAGCGGGGAGTGGGGGAGTTATGGGGGAGGGGGTGTTGCATCTCTGTCCCCCTCTGATGCCCCTACCCCCCTAGGTATCGGGGTGCCCTGTGCGGTCTCTGCGGTGACTACAATGGGGACCCCGGTGACGACTTCCGGACCCCGGCGGAGGGTGCAGCCGGCTCGGCCGGGGACTTCGGGGACAGCTGGGGTGTCGGCAAGTGAGTGACACCCCCCAAACCTCCCACACACCCCTACTGTCCCCCCAAATCTCCCATGACTCCCACTGCCCCTCTACAGCCCCCCAAACCTCCCATGTCCCTACGGCTCCCCTATACCCCCCCAAACCACCCACATGCCCCCCTACTGTCCCCCAAACCTCCCATGTCCCTATGGCTTCCCTACACTCCCCGAAACCTCCCACACGCCCCCTATTGTCACCCCAAGTCTCCCATGCCCCCCACTGTCTCCCCTACAGCCCCCCAACCCCATGTACCTACAGCTCTCCTACACCCCCCAAACCTCCCACATACCCCCTACTGTCCCCCCAAATCTCCCATGCCCCCCACTGCCCCTCTACAGCCCCCCCAAACTCCCCATGTCCCTACGGCTCCTCTACACTGCCCCAAACCACCCACTTGCCCCCTACTGTCCCCCCAAATCTCCCATGGCCCTCCACTTCCCCCCTACAGCCCCCCAAACCCTCCACACCCCACACACCCCCAGCCACCTTAACGCCCCCAATCCCCCTACACCTCCACCCCCTGCAAGAGAGCAACCCCCCCGCCCCAGCCCGCCTGAAGCCCCACCCCCCACAGACCCACGGCCCCCTGACCCCCAGGAGACTCCCCCAAACCACCTCCTGTCCCCCTCACCTCTCTGCTTCCCCCCCCCAGCTGCACCTCGGCCGGCCCCCCCGTCACCCCTCAGTGCCCCGCGGACGCACGGCTGGACTACGAGGGGCCCGGGGCCTGCGGGCTCCTGCTAGCCCCTGATGGGCCCTTCGCCCCCTGCCACGGCCAGCTGAGCCCCATGGTGAGTGGGGGGCCATGGGGGTGGGGGCTAGATGGGAGTCAGGGGGGCCATGGTGGGTGGGTTATGAGGGTGAGGGGGGCTGGGTGGGTATGGGGGGGTCTTGGGGAGGCTGGGTGGGTGTCAGAAGGACCATGGGGGGCTATGGGGGTGAGGGGGCTGGGTGAGGGTTGGAGGGGCCAAGGGGAGAAGCAGGGATCATGGGGGGGTCATGGGGGTGGGGGCTAGGTGGGAGTCAGGGTGAGGGGGATGGGTGGGGATTGGGGGGGCATTGGGGTGGGGGTGGGGGCTAAGTGGGCCTCAGGACGGCCATGGGGTCTATGGGGCTGAGGGGGCTGGGGGTTCACCGGGGGTTCAGAGCCCCCTGGGGGGGCTGACATGGGGGGTTCCCTGCCATGCCTCCACCACGCCCTGCCCCGGAGCACTGGGACCCGGGGGGATGTCCGTGGGGCCCCCCAATAACCCCCCTCCTCCCCTCCCAGACCTTCTTCCAGGACTGCGTGTTCGATCTCTGCGCGCTGGGGGGCGACCGGCGTCAGCTCTGCTCCGCCCTGGGCAGCTATGGGGCCCAGTGCCAGGCCCACAACGTCAGCCTGGGCCCCTGGCGCAACCAGACGCTCTGCCGTGAGTGGGGCTGGGGGGGCAGGGGTGGAGCGGGGGACTTGGCAGGGGGCACCGTGGGGCAGGGGGTGGGATGGGGGGCTCGGCAGGGGATGCCGGGGGGCAGGGGTGGGGCGGGGGACTTGGCAGGGGACGCCATGGGGCGGGGGCTCAGCAGGGGGTGCTGTACTGCAGAGGGTGGACGGGGGCTTGGCAGGGGGCACCGTGGGGCAGGGGATGCTGTGATGCAGAGTGTGGGACGGGGGGCTCATCAGGGATGCCGTGGGGCAGGAGGTAGGGCGGGAGGCTCATCAGGGGGCGCTGTGCTGCAGAGGGTGGGACGGGGAGCTTGGCAGGGGTGCCGTGGGGGAGGAGGTGGGGTGGGAGGCTTGGCAGGGGGCACCGTGGGGCAGGGGGCTGGACAGGGGAGGGGCTGGGGCGGGGGTTTTTACTCCTCTCTTTCCCCCCTCCCCACAGCCATGCTCTGCCCCCCCAACAGCCATTACGACCCGTGCAGCCCCCCCTGCCTCGCCGCCTGCCCTGAGGCCGGGGTGAGGGGCTGCCAGGAGCCCTGCCTGGAGGGGTGCACGTGTGACCCCGGCTTCCTGCTCAGTGGGGGAGCCTGTGTCCCCCAGGGGGGCTGCGGCTGCAGCTACGCCGGGGGGTACTATGAGGTAAGGGGGGGCGCTTTGGTTTGGGGTGGGGAGGAACTCAGGGGTCACTGTGGGGTGGGGGGATTTCAGGGGGTCTCTCGGGAGTCGGGTGGATTTTGGGGGGTCTTGGGTTACTCACCCCTTCCCTCTCTCCCCTGCAGCTGGGCGAGGAGTTCTTTGGGCCGGGCTGTGGGTCGCGCTGCCGCTGTGAGGGGGGGAACCGGACCCACTGCCAGGCCTGGCAGTGCCGCCCCACGGAAACCTGCGGGCTCCACAATGGCCTGTACGGCTGCCACCCCACAGGTAACGCCCACCCCAGAGATCCCCCCTGCCCCACGGGGAATGCCAGCCCCATAGATCCCCCTGGACCCCGCCCCACAGCTAACGCTTGACCCATAGATTCCCTCTGCTCCACCAGTAATGCCCGCCCCATTGATCCCCCTGGCCCCCGCCCCACAGGTAATGCCTGCCCCATAGATCTCCCCCCTCCCCCACCCCACAGGTAATGCCCACCCCATAGATCCCTCTGGCCCCCGCCCCACAGGTAATGCCTGCCCCACAGATCTCCCCAGCCCCCACACCACAGGTAACGCCTGCTGTGATGGGTTGGGTCACAGAACCCCCCTTGGGAACTGCCCCCGACGTGCTGAGATACCCTGAGCCCGTTTTCCTGCCAGCCTGGGTCTGCAGCACCCTGCCCGGTCTGAGCCAGACACGCCGGCCTGCTACAACCCAGCCCCAGCTCTGACCCACGTGCCCCCTGCCTCCAGCACCCAGACCCCCAGCTCCAATGGGGTCCAAACCCCAAAGCATCCCTTTGGCTCTGTATAAAGCTTACCCGGGGGAAACCCATAAATGGCCCGGCCCAGGAATTAATCACTCCCTGGGGTTATTCATAAGCAAAAGCGATTTTATTAAGTATAAAAAGGAGGATTTAAGTGGTGCCAAGTAACAGCCAGAGCGAAGTCAGTCACCCGGCAAAATGACACAAAACCACACACGGCGAAGGCTACGTCTACACTACCCACAGGTCACGCTCGAGCAATCAGGGAGCGATTCATGGCGTGTAGTGTAGCCTCCCCTGACTGCCCCGGACAGGTCCCCTGGGACCCCACCCCCATCTGCCCCCCGTTCCACCCACAACCAACCCCTCTGTTCGCTCCCCCTGCAGCCAGCGCCCCCTGCTACGTCTCCGGCGCTCCGCACTACCAGACC